ATAAAAAAAACACAATTTATTTGAAAAAAATCTGAATCTGAAAAAACTTTTTTTGTATCTTCTATATGCAAAAATCGCAATTATTCATAGACAATTTTGTCTAAAAATTAAATTTTCAAACCCAAAAAAATACTAACAATTTTTCACCCTGAAAAAGCCTTATTTGTGTGATTTATGTGCGAAAATCGTTGCAAGATGCAACAATATCTTTAGGAGCGTAAAATTTTAATTAAAAATCAAATTTTGAAACCCAAAGAAATAAAAAAAAAAAAACACAATTTATTTGAAAAAATCTGAATTTGAAAAAACTTTTTGTGTCTTCTATGTGCAAAAATCACAATTATTCATAGACAATTTTGTCTAAAAAATAAATTTTTAAGCCCCAAAAAAATTACCAAGAATTTTTTAACCTGAAAAAGCCTTTTTTGTGTAATTTATGTGCGAAAATCGGTGCCAGATGCAACAATATCAACAGGAACGTCCAATTCTGATTAAAAATCAAATTTTTAAAGCCAAGAAATTTGAAAAAATACCAATTTTTTTGAAAAAATTCTCGACTGTGTTTCAGTATGAAAAAACCTTTTTTGTACCATTTACATGCAAAAATCGGATTCAAGCGGCAATTATTTAAGACAATTATGTCTAAAAATCAAGTTTTCAAACCAAAAAAAAAATCAAAAAATTGGTAACTTTTTCAAAAAATTTTTAGCCTGAAAAAGCCCTTTTTGTGTGATTTATGTGCGGAAATCGGTGCAAGATGCGATAATATATACAGGAACGTAAAATTTAAATTAAAAATCAAATTTTTAAACTCAGAAAAATATAATTTTTTTTCGAAAAAAATCTTAACTGTGTTTCAGTCATAAAAAACCTTTTTGTACCTTCTATGTGCTAAAATCGGACTTGGCAATTATGGCAATTATTCATAGACTATTTTGTCTAAAAGTTAAATTTTTAAACCAAAAAAAAAAAAATTACTAAGAATTTTTCAGCCTGAAAAAGCCCTTTTTGTGTGATTTATGTGCGAAAATCGTTGCATGATGAAACAATATCTACAGAAGCGTAAAATTTTAATTAAAAATCAAATTTTTAAACCCAGAAAAACAGCATTTTTTTGACTGTTTCAGTCTGAAAAAACTTGTTTTGTGTCTTCTATGTGCAAAAATCGCAATTATTCATAGACAATTTTGTCTAAAAAATAAATTTTCAAACCCAAAAAAATTATTAATAATTTTTCATCCTGAAAAGCCCTTTTTGTGTGATTTATGTGCGAAAATCGGTGCAAGATGCAACAATGCCGGCAGGAGCGTCCAGGATTCAACTCAGTAGCCTCAGCAGGATCGCGCAATCCTCCCGCCTTCATTCCTGCAGCCGCAGCAGCAGCAGCAGCAGCAGCAACTTCTGTTTCTCTTCCAGCAGTTCGAATCGAATCGTCGAGTGGCGAGTGTGTTGCTTTCACGTCTCGAGACATTTTTCCACACGCGAAGTGCAGTTATGTGATTGGGTGATGGGGTGCTTGCTGACAGTGGGGGTGCTCTCAACCCTTTGCTTTCTCAAGTGTATTGCAGGTAAATTCGACGTGATGTGAGTGAGGGGTGGTTGAGGGGACAGAAAACTTGGAAAAATGTTAAGAAAGTGTGGATGGAAATGTAAACGATTGGAACGGGTCTCGGGGGAGGAGTTGGGGGGCCACAATTCAATTTCGAGAGCTCGAAAGCGGCTTAATGCGGTTACAAAGTGTTAAAGTTTGAGAAAAAAAATACTAAATTTGCGCAAAACTTCGCATTTTTATTCAAATTTTTGCTAATACATTGGAAATTTTTGGGTCAAAATCAAATTTCTTTAATAATCTTACGTTATTGGTCGTAAAAARGCCCTTAGTTTTGTGGTTTAAAAAAATTATAAATTTTTACCCTTTTTTTGAGAGTCAGATTAGRAATTTTCAAAAATATTTTATTCAAAATTATTTTTTTTATTATTATTTGCACATTGTTGATCCTAGAAATACCTTTAATTTTAAATAGCAATTATTTATAGACAATTTTTACTGAAAATAC